TCAGAAGGATCTGTTGTTGATTCCCATCCACCTGGAAGTCCACTGGTCACTGGTCAGTGTTGACATCCCAGGTCGAACCATTACTTACTTCGACTCTCAGCGTACCCTCAACCGGCGCTGTCCAAAGGTAGGACCAAAACCAGCGCTGGGATTTGGCTCTTCAAGGGTCTCTAAGGGAACTGGGATGTGTAAAGCTGGGCGGACACTGTGCGACTTTTTCACTCGTAGCACTCAGCTTCAGCTCAAACCGTACGACTTCCTCGCAGGGCAGATCTCACGAGTCATGCGCTCACACTGCACGACCCAGTTCTCGGTTGCGACCTGACTGCTCGCTCACACTGCATGTCTGGTAGCAACACATCGGCCCTAAAAATATGCTAAAAATAGCAGTTTTTACACAACACGTCAGACTTTTTTGCGTTGTCTTGCCTGTTGTCCTTCGGGAGTGCTGCAGGAGGACACACAGGGATTTATGGGGGTTGGATGAGGAAAACGAGATAAAGAAAGTAAATCTGTGTTTTGTGATCAGATTAATTTGACATGAACACGACAAACACGCTTTCTTGACAATCTTTGTGAGTAAAAAAACGTGTAGAAATAAAAACGAACAACGTGTGTTACTAGGGAAATAGCGGGTGAGCGGTGTTGATCAGGGTATCCGCGGGTCCTTAAAAAGTCTTAAATTTGCTTTTCCAAATTTAAGGCCTTAAAAATCCTTATAAATGACAAATATTCCTTAAATACAGTTTCCAAAGGTCTTAAATCACCAAAAACCCATAAACAAAATTATTTTATTACTGTGAAATTTTCATGAATTTCTAGTTGGTGTTCAGCATTTTTGTGTACGATGTTGCCGTAAGTGGAACCGTACACACTCAGCTGGTTGTGAAAGGGGGCTATTTTTAGATGAGCACATTAGCTGGTTAAGCTAGTGGGCGCTTGCACCATGGGGAAGTGCAACATTAATGGTAACTGGATGGCTAATCCCACGTTCACGATGTGGTTAGCACCGGTTCCAGGCAATAGCTGGAAATTATAGCTTAAATGTAATTTAAAAAATAGCTTAAATTTGGTCAAAGTGGCCTTAAAAAAGGTCTTAAAAAGTCTTAAATTTGGCTCCCTTAAACCTGCAGATACCCTGGTTGATGCATGATTGCGCATGCGCCGTGAGCGGTTCTGGTACTTTTTGGGTCGCAGCTGCTCGCAGCGCCGCTTCAACAGTGCGATACCCTCACGAGGGCCGAGCAAAATATCAAACACACCAGAAGTCCGTGCGAGCTCACGATTGCTGATCGGTAGCTGGTCACGTGGTGTTAATCGCCTCTCGTAACCCCCTGTACACTACACGACGCTCGGCGCAAAACTCGCCCCGATCTCGTGGATTCTCGCACGAGTGGAAAATCGGCTCAAAAAAGTGAAGAAGTCGCACAGTGTACGCCCGGCTTTAGGCAGGTGTCTGGTCTGAGAGCTGAAAACACACAACAGCTATGCTGCAGAACTTCCACTTCTCTATAGATGTCAGTAATACAGAATCCTAAATGATGTGATGTATGAACTATGGATCTTTTTAATTTGGTGTGGTGGGTTTATGATTAGGTTAGATTAGTCCAAGTCGTGTGCACTAGATATGATCGGATTGTGATTTTCAAAGACTTAATTTATTTTCTTTTTCAGCATATTTTCAAGTACCTTCAAGCTGAAGCCATCAAAAAAGACAAACCTGACTTTTTGATGGGGTGGAAAGGCCTTTTTAAAATGGTAAAGCTGGACTGTTTCCTTCTGTAGCTGCTGAGCGGTGATATTCTGACCTCCTGGATACTGATGTTGTTTTGGTGTTTTACAGAATGTTGGTCGCCAGAACAACGACAGTGACTGTGGTGCTTTTGTACTACAGGTGAGTTTGCAACCAGTCCCAGTAGTTGATCACACATACAGGCTGCACCATTAAACAGACCCTTGTTGCCCAGTACTCCTGGTTTCCCATCAGCTGTGATCACACGCTGATCAGCTGGGACACTTTGTTGGTGGAACCCAAAGTCCTGGAGCCGAGTTGATGTGCACCTATGTTTAAAGGGACTTTACGGAGTTTTGAATTTTTATGCTCGCGATTGCCCCCTCAGGCCAAAAGCGTAACGGCAGCTTCAATAGTAGGCTCGTGCACGAGGCGCGCATGCTGTACGTGCACACTCCTTAACGAAAATAACAGCTGAGACAGTCGTGTGTGTGTGTGTGTGTGTGTGTGTGTGTGTGTGTGTGTGTGGCCCGGAGGACAGGAGAACGCGCAGCTAATTAATTAAATAATTTGGTTCTGTACCTTTCTCTTCAGCACAGCCGACAAAGGTTTATGATGGGTCAGTCCTCCTGCATGCTCAGATCATTCCCTTCCCTTGCTTGAAAAATTGTTCCAAAATGAAAGTTGAACCCACATCTTTTTATCTGTGAATTCAATGCCGTTCGGCAAGTCTCAAATAAAAATTTGTACATCTTACTGTAAAAAAATACCATTAATGTAAAAAATAAACTCTCAAGTAAATATGTTCACATCTGGATTCGAATCCGGGTCTCCCACACAAGAGTCCGACGTCTTACTAGGTGAGCTAAAGCGCCAGTGACGTCTTTTGTATCTGTAACGTTTATATCCTTGATTGCAGCTGAAACAACGTTCAAAGAACGGTTCAGAGTGAAAATGGCTATTTTGTTGCTAATTTGCAGGAAATATCTAGAAGAAAGTTCTACAGAAAGTAGCTAAGGGTCCTCAGAAATGTAGCTAGCTTTGTCACTAGGCGTTAGGAACAGCGACAAAGTGGCACTGCCTCTCTCTCTGCTGCTAAAGCTACGGATAGCAAATGCTACGGGCGATGCCTGAGCGTGAACGCGCATGAAGCAGCCTGCTCGACCCGAGCATCTCTCTTTTTCTGTGATTTTACAGAAAAACAGGCAATCACAGTAAAAATGCCAGGGCTCATTCTACAGGACCAGGGCATTGCAGGAGAATGTATGAAGGAGAAATTTATTATTTCTATACATGTTTTGGCTGTCAAACTTCCATAATGTCCCTTTAAACAGCCGCACCAACACGTTAACCACAACAATTCTTGGCTGCGATTGGCTAAGAAAGGATTGTTTGTTTTTACACTCAAATGCATTTCAGAATGAGTGAAATGTGTCTGAGTTCCTTGTGTAACGGGAGCTTTCCACTACGGCTGCAGTGGGTGGGCGTGGGCGACCCAGCACATCAGTACCACGAGGTGATTTGTACACAAAACACAACAGAGAAGAACACGGTAGTGATGCCGAACATTCTGCTCAGTTAGTTGCTTTTTGTCAGACCCTGAAAAGGTTGCAGGCAGCGAGGCGGACTCCACCCCCTAGCCAAACACTGACCGACATTCACCGTTATCGGCCCGGCTCGTTAGGCCTGGAACCACATCGATTCAAGTGTGAAAAAAGGGCGGTGACTACAGACGTGTTACTAACGGAGATGGCCTAACCGCGCTGCTCTGAGTGGGACACAACTGTCCAGTAAAACCTAGAACCCGCAGCCGTCTGCAGCACAGACATGAAGCGTTGGGTTAGCGTTTCCTGGTGAGCGTGCCTTGGTGCTGTTAGGAGGTGAATGCAGAAAAGTAACTTGTGTCTGTTCTTTTTCCTCCCTGTCGCAGTACTGTAAGTGTCTGGCTCTAGGACAGCCGTTCGGCTTCGGGCAGCAGAACATGCCCCAGCTCAGGAGGCAAATGTACAAAGAACTGTGCCACTGCAAGCTCACCCTGTGACCTTTCACCTCTAGCCCCCTCATCCCAACCACACAGAGGTGATGAAACAACTGAAGGACAAGGGTAGGAACTGATGGGCTGGAGAAAGGACTAAACAAAGCCTTTGTTGACTCCTCCTGAGAAAAGACACTTTGCATATCCACTGTCACCGTTTTCCTTTAGTCTGCTTCCCTCAGTTCACCCTTCTGAAAAGTTGGTTTGAATTTAACGCCGTAGTTCCTGTATAGTAGCTGCCAGAGATGAAGACCAGCATCCATGTTGGGAATGAGCTTATTGTTCATCCTACTGTTGACTCTGAAGCACGAATAAGGGTTTAGAGGAGGCGGTTCTAGTTTGTCATCATTTCATGCTCCTCACGGTTTTTGTTTTTGTAAAACCAACAATATTGCCACCCATAATAAAATGCTAGAGTGAGTTTTTGGACAATGTCAGTTTGTGTTGGTACCATTTCTCTGTGTAGTTTGATCCGAACCCCTCATCGATGTCTTCAGCTGGGTCAGAGCTGGACCTGGATCTTGGAGTAAATGCTGCCAGGAGAGGGTTTTCATAAGAAGTTTGTTTGAGCTTCACCGTCAGCGGACAAGCCAGACCCCCCCGGCTCCAGCACCGTAACCTTTTTGCCTTCTCCAGTAACAAATGTAACTGAGTAATGTGAGTTTTTGTTTCTGCGTCTCAGGGCAGCCAAACAAAGACCCAGAGTGAGGGGAGCCTCTACTTTGTCTTTTTACTGTGTTTTTATTCCTGTCAGTAAATGTGGTGAAATGCGTATTGCTTTGAACTAATGGTGTTGAAACGGACTACGTTTTCTGTTCTTTTGCAGTAAGTCTAAAAAATGTTTTAGGTTTTTTTAAGCCATTTTGGTGGGGACCACAGCAGCTACACAACAGGCACCATATGTCCACAACTGAGTTACGTGCTTTCTCTCTTTTTTTTGTTCCAGTGTATATATATATAAAAATATATACACAAAATAAACATCATACTTGTGGATAGTTGTGTTTTTAGATTTGCATCCTGTTTTCCTCAGTTGATGCAACAGAGTTGTTTTCTATATCTTCTATGATGCATTATGGTTGCTAAAATAAAAAAAACATGTGGCAAACAAACTGTGTATTTAAAGCTTGAGTAGCTAGTCATCCATAAAGTCAGTGTGATGATAATAGGGATGCAACGATACCACTTTTTTCCAAACCGATACCAATACTTGGATCTGAGTACTCACAATACCGATTACCACTACCGATACTTCTACCACACAAAAAAATGCAATGATTTGGAATTCAGATTTTATTTTCTTCTCTGCTTTCAACAGGAGGACTGTGAGGTAGATAAAAAGTAAAATATATGAAAAGAAATCATCACAAAACCAAAATATTAGGTGAACAGAAATGACAAGTTACAGTGAAGCCATTTTCAAGCAACTGCATTGGTATCGGTTAACTTTTACCGATACTGGTATTGGTATCGTATCGGTGCATCCCTAGATGATCATTCATAATTTACATTAAAAAAAAAACATTTCATGACCCGAACAAGTGGAGTATATTCTTACAGAACCTTCCAGCAGGTCCGGCCATTCTGAGCCACTCTTGCTTTAGTGAACTAAAAATGATTCATCCTAAATGTGATGATTTTGGACTCGACCGCAGCATTTACACTTGTGGTGAAACGTGATTTTAAACATCTATGGATTAACATATCTGAAGATTCAAGTGGCCTTTACTCTTTGACCAAAACAGACAGAATGAGAAAGTTCACAGATAACAGATGTAGGGAGCACGGACTATCGCCACTGAGGTCAGAGCTCAGCTGACCTGCACAGGTAGGACAAAACAACACATTACTGCTGTCAAAAAGAATTACTGTGACAATTTATTAGAACTGCAGAAATGTTTATAAGAAAATACATTTTTGTAATTGTTTTACAACATTTTGGGAGGGATAAAACACTTTGGTACAATACATTTGATGTACTAATTATGCACTGTAAAAAGAGTCCAACCTCACAATAACTTAGAAAATGAATAAACTCTGAATGTGCGGTGTAAGTTAATGTTCAACTGAAAATGATTCTCATTATTGACCCATTTTATCAGCCATTAAAGGTCAACATTTCGCATTTATTTTACTATTGCGGTTAACGTTTTGCCCTTTTTGGGCATTATTGTTCTTACAGTAAAGGTTTGAAGTCAGCTCTGAATCAAGTCCCCGCGTCCCGCTTCGCTCTCAGTAACAAACCATGATTTTTTATCTCAAATAGACTTTCGTTCTTGTCAATGTTTGTTTTTGATCGTTTAAACGAAAAAGATCCCTACCTCTTTCTGGTGGAAAGCAAAGTTCCGCCTAGTCCCGCCTTTTAAAAATACATGTAGGAGTGGACCAATCACGAACCTCGACAGGCGGGTCTACAGAAAAGTGACGGTGATGTTGTCCAATGAAAATGCGACGTTGTGAGTTCTTGATATATAAGAATTTTCTGCCCCGGATTCTTTCTTTGGAATAATGTCGGCTGAATATGATAACAGGTCAGTGAAATAACGAATTGTTCAAACAATATTATACTGTTTTATTTACGATATTTATTGCCGTTTGTGTTTTTTGTGTCGAATTGTGAGAATTGGTGACTAGGAACTCGCCCGTAATATAGACTTTGAGGCACCGCGAGTGGCTTATTAAAAGGACTAGCCTTGTTAGAGGCCTGTTCTCAGTGGTGATGCTAGAATCTCAGTCTTATTGATCGATACTGATATCACTTAGGTAAACCAGTTCAAAAGTTGATTTTGTAGGTTTAATCGCGTATTTGTATTCGCCAGAAGAGTGAACGTGTATTAAAGATGTCGGCCCTGAGAAAAAAGAAAAGGCTGCCGGTTCCGTGTAGCACGTGAGGGCTCCAGGCCTTCGCCGACTTGGTAGTTTAGGGTGTCTGCCGTCACTCCGTTACCAAAACCAGCGAAATGATGTTCCGTCTGTGATTTCTCGCGTACAACCGACCATTTGCAGCCTTCCCGTTAGCGTAGGCGTTAGATGTTCTGGCCTCGGTGATCGGTGCACATGGCGGCGCTAACTGGGAGGGTGGACATGCTAACGCGACTTTTCATTTTTCTGTCATTGCCGCCGCTGGAGCAACCCTAATCCGTTCCTCACGGTTTCCCTCGGCAAGGAAATTGTTGGTGATGGATTCTACTAGCTGTATCCTTGGGTAGAGACCCAGAGGCCCGCTTAGGACCAGCTAAGTTAGCAGGCCGTGGCTACAAGCTAACTCTGTCTCGCTGGACCGTTGCCATCCGGAACGTCATGTTCCGTTTTTGCTCGTTAAATACTTCATCTGACCGTAAACTTGAATGTTTTCCGGGCCACGGCCTGTTTCAGTGACTTTGCTAGCTGGTCGGATCGACCATCTTGAATGCGGCCTACGATAAAAATGGCGGACTCCGTTGAAGGATCCAGTCTGGTCGCTTTACCGTTTAACGACTTCGGTCGGTTCTACAGACTACCGGGCTGGTTCCGATCGTTCTGGACCCGTTACCGGACCCGTCTGCTGACGGAACCCAGAGAAATGATGGATCCGTGATTTTGATGAATATTCATTGTTTGGTTTCAGAGACAATGGCCCCGAGGGCATGGAGCCCGATGGCATCATCGAGGTAAAGATTTCTACTAATTAAAGGTTTCTGACGTAGATGTGTTCCTGCTTTTTACATATTTGATGTTTCACATGTGCAGTAACTGCCTTGTATGATTAGGAGAGATTAAGCTTTTCCATCTGGACTGAGTTTAAAATGAACAGGATCCTTTTGATTCTAAGGCCTTGTTGCTGATTCTGTCTTGGTCTCATCCGATCAGCATTTGTAGGAAATATTGACGTCACTCTGCCTTGTTTCTGTCTCCCAGAGCAACTGGAACCAGATCGTGGACAGTTTTGATGAGATGAACTTGCGTGAAACTCTGCTCAGGGGAATCTATGCTTATGGTTTTGAGAAGCCATCTGCTATCCAGCAAAGAGCTATTCTCCCTTGTATCAAGGGTAGGTAAGAGGACTGGCCTCAGGGTGCACTTTAGTGTTTTCCTTAGATTAACTAAAATCTCAGCAGCTTTGTTTTGTCTTGTGTGGTTGGCTGGTTGCTCAAAATCATCGTACCGATAACTCATCAGCCCTGATGTGGCTAATGTTGCACCTTTAGGACAAGCCCGTATCAGCCAGCTGGAGTGGAGTTGGTGATGATGATCTGGATTAGTTTAGTTGAAAACCCTTTCCGTCTCTCTGGTCTCCAGGTTACGATGTGATTGCTCAGGCCCAGTCTGGCACTGGGAAGACTGCCACATTTGCCATTTCCATCCTCCAGCAGATCGACATAGAGCTGAAAGGCACCCAGGCTCTGGTTCTGGCTCCCACCAGGGAGTTGGCTCAGCAGGTAAGGACCCAGTCACACCAGTTAGGGTGTTAGCTATTGATTTCTCAACAGGCCTGTGACTGAACTGACCCAAGGGACTTAAAACTGGCTCGCCCAGCATGAGCAAGAGCTCCTCATCGCTCTTCCCTCCGCCCACCCACTAGACCTACTTGGGTTGAAATTGAGTTAAATGCCAAAATACAAAATTGTGATTTTAAAAATGTAAAAAAGGGGAGGGGGGGGATGGAAAACGATCAGTGGCTCCTGGGAAAGGCGGGATAGGTTGAGCAAAATAAGGACAGTGTTGACGAAGGTCGCGTGAAAGCCAGCTTAAATGAGTGGATGACCATGTTGTGAAGCACCTTGGGGGGTTGTAGGCCCTTTACTACTAGGTGGGGACAGACTGGGTGACTAGTGAGTTTAGTGCATTGCTGCCACATCTTCCTCACCTTTAGTCTGACGTTGGTTTAGGGTTGTGGTTCCTCACAAACCACCTGGCTTGTGTTTGCAGATCCAGAAGGTGGTTCTGGCTCTTGGCGACTACATGGGGGCCAGTTGCTACGCCTGCATTGGGGGCACCAGCATCCGCAGTGAAGTCCAGAAGTTGCAGGCGGAAGCTCCTCACATCGTGGTGGGAACCCCGGGCCGTGTCTTTGACATGATAACACGTAAAAACATCTGTGAGTACTTTATCCGTCTCTGGGAATGACACACTTCTGGTAGATGGACTTGTATTGGACCAGGCCTAGAAGGTACCAAATGGTCGGGTTCTTTGGGTTAGTGGGTTGTTTCTTTTAACAGATCACTTCCTGAACCCAGGAAGTGCAGTATGATGATGAAATCCATGCGTGTCAACTGACTCTTGAGTCGTCCTGGTGTGGTGATGTTCAGGCTAGCGTTCTGCTGACCTGGGTTTTCACAACATCAGGGACTTAGAGACATGATCACACCCTCATGGTTCTGAGTACTTGTGTCAGGAGGTACCTTTAGCTCTCTGGACTTAGTGTGAATGAAAACAAGAAGTCCTGTCTGAAGTGACTTCCCAGAAGGAGGACTTAAAATAGGAAGGCGTTTCAACATCAGGTTCTAGCATTTGTACAGGAACTTAAAAAGCGGCGTTTTGTTTTTCAGCCTCTAAATACATCAAGATGTTCGTGCTTGATGAGGCTGATGAGATGCTGAGTCGAGGATTCAAGGATCAGATTTACGAGATCTTTCAGAAACTGTCCAGCAACATCCAGGTAAGACTCCAGGAGGTCTGGGACCTTCAGACCACAGTCTAGGTGTAGAAAAGGGTTGGTGTTCATGCTGTTCTCGTGGTTTGGTGCTGATAGGTTGTCCTTCTGTCGGCCACAATGCCTGCTGATGTTTTGGAGGTCACAAAGAAATTCATGCGAGACCCGATCCGGATCCTTGTGAAGAAGGAGGAGCTGACCCTTGAGGGTATTCGTCAGTTCTACATCAATGTGGAGAAGGAGGTGAACCAGCTTGGGCAGCATGGTCTGTTATGGGTGTGTAGAACCTGGGCTGACCATCTGACTTGGTTGTGTGTACAGGAGTGGAAGCTGGACACGCTGTGTGATCTGTATGAAACCCTGACCATCACACAGGCCGTCATCTTCATCAACACCAGGAGGAAAGTGGACTGGCTCACTGAGAAGATGCATGCCCGAGACTTCACCGTTTCTGCTCTGGTAACGGCCTCTCAGAGCCTGGTGGAACCAGGACCCGCTGCATATCCTCCGTAGAAATTCAGACTGAAGCTCGGCTGGTTTCAGGTTTATTTTGTCTCTCTCAGCACGGTGACATGGACCAGAAGGAACGAGACCTGATCATGAGGGAGTTCCGCTCTGGTTCCAGTCGAGTCCTCATCACCACTGACCTGCTGGTGCGTCCTCTCTCTCTCTCACACACACACACACACCCCAGAGTTCCCTCTCCTCCCATCTGTGGTGGTGGTGCAGGACTGATTGTTCTTTGGGAAAGTAACTCACCCGTCCTCCACTGTGACTCGGTTCAAGTCTGAAGCTCTCAACTGAATGGCGGGTTACACGTCCAGCAGCTGGCGTGTGTGTGTATGGAGATGGTTAACATATGTGTTCTCCTTCAGGCCAGAGGGATTGATGTCCAGCAGGTGTCTCTCGTTATCAACTACGACCTTCCAACCAACAGAGAGAACTACATTCACAGGTACTCGCAGAAATACTGCGGTTTCCTCACTATGACCCCACCAGCACCACCTCTTCCTGGTTCTGGTGAAGCTCTTCATCCTGCTTTTGGTTCTCCCTTCAGGATTGGTCGAGGTGGTCGTTTTGGAAGGAAGGGCGTAGCCATCAACATGGTGACCGAAGATGACAAGCGAACCCTGAGAGACATTGAGACGTTCTACAACACCACCGTCGAGGAGATGCCCATGAACGTGGCTGATTTGATCTAGAAAGATACCACAGGCTCTTCTTGCCCCAGTCTGCTTATTTTAGAAGTAAAATCTCGTTTTTAACTTTATGATCTGATTATTTTTCTTTGAATTCCATCATGAGTTTTTACATCCAGACACTTGACGTTGTTGTTGGCCTTTCATGAACTGCTTCATCTTTCTGCTGTAGTTTGATCAGACCAGCACCTGAGCGTTAGCGGCTCGGTGCTGATGCACGTGGTTCTTGTTCTGTAGCCGGCGCTCCTGTCTGGTTGATCACAAGTGTGAACATGAGCAGTGTCTTGAAGTGTTTAGTGCAGCACCGCTCGGGTGTCTCCTGGTTGCAACTACAGTTTACACTCCACAACTCGATGCTTTAACCCCACAGGGGCGCTGGGTTTGACCAGACCAGTATTTCCTGACTCCAGTGGGACTCTGCAGCGTTCACCCGTTCATGTAGAAGAGATCCGGTTCAGGAGCATGTGAGGCTGATTTAATAAAGAGCTGTTAATCCAAACGTGGTGTGAAACTTTGCCTCCAGCACCAGATTTCCTGAGCTTCAGCCTTGTGCTTTTAGACTTGTTTGTTTTAAACCCTAATGGGGTGGGAGGGGGGGGTGAGAAGTGACATTAAAGGACCAAACCAGAAAATGGAGGTGAAATCCTCTCCTAAACCGGTCGATACCCCTCTTCATACCTCCTCTAGCCTCTTTAACATGACTTAACCTTTTTTTTGAGATCGTGTATCAAGTTTTCTACATTGCTTTCTGTAAAGTATTTATTTTAATGGCCTTTTAAAAATAAAGATTTCTCCTTTTTAACAGTGTAAACTTGGCTCTGCATTCAACACCAGAAAAACAGTGGATCCTTGCACTCCAGCTGTTCTGAAGGGGTTGGTCACATGACCGTGGGGGTAGAAGTGTGGTCTGTCCATCCTGCTTTACTGGTCTGAGCAGGCCTACCAGTTCCTTTTGAAGTCAGGTGCTGGTTCTGATTGGCTGAAGGCAGGAGGTGAAGCTAGAGGCAGCAGCTCGGCTCCTGTGTACTTCTGGTTCTGACGTAAACCGGAAAAATGGTGAACATTTATTAAACCATTTCTGACACGGAGAACAATCACGACCCTCCTGGCTGCACATTTAGAACGTGGATCTATAGGAAAAGCTGCCCTGAACATTATCACGCAACACAAGGTACCAGACCTGTTTCCTGAGCCATCAGAGATCAGTAACAGGTGACCCGGCCTTACCTGCATGAAGCGAAAACAACTTTTAGCATCGCAGGAGCCGTTTTATCACAACCAGCTTGTTTCTAGGAACCAAAGCGCTGATGGGTGCTCTGGTTTGGTGTGGACCACATTGAACCTGGACTGGAGCTCAGATTATAGATGTTACAGGTGATGTTCCCATGACTTCAACTAAAGTCCACTGGACTGAAGACGACTTCCTAAGATGTGGACTCATGAGCAGGTTGGTCCAACTTGTGGTGCTGAGGGTGGAGAAAAGAACCAGAACTATTCGAGAAGTCCACGGTCAAAGTTCTGTCTCAATGAGCATCATGGAAGAAGATAATAGTAATAATGAAGGTCTGGAGTGCTTGACAGGACAATCATTCAAGGACACCATGACTAGCAGAAGACAGCCTGGATTCAAACCAGCGACCCACCAATTACAAACATCACGTGTCCTATGAAATTTATAAAAAGTCACTTTTTGATTACCAGCAAGTGGTACGACAGGCTAGGATCAGATATTATGCCAACATTGTGGAATCAAATTCTCATGACCCACGCACTCTTTAAGGTGACTCAGTACTGGAAACTGCATCTTCTGCCTCCAGGTCCACGGCTGCGAAGGCCGGGACGTGAGGATTTTCTTCACTACTTTTGTGGACAACATACCGATGATTCGGACTGCTATCGTAGGCCACACTCCTGTTTTTGTGGAGCCTATGCCACTTAGGGCAAACCTGCCAGCCTTTCAGACTATATCCATGACAGAGCTAGAGGAACTCATTTCCAAGCAAAAACCTTCTGGTTCCCCTTATGATGCTCATCCCCAAGGATGCTTAAGGAGGCTTTTTCTGTTCTGGCCCCTTATATATACATACCAGTCTGGCCTCTTGTGTGGTCCCCCTTACTTTTAAGAGGGCTGTTGTACGACCACTGCTGAAAAAGAAGGGGATGGAGGAGGCTGTGTTGGCCAATTACAGACCTATCTCACACCTACAGTACCTTACTTATCTAAGCTGCTTGAGAGGGTTGTATATTTACAGCTGGTTGCATTTTTAGACACTCACGATTTCTGGGAGATCTTTCAGTCAGGGTTCAGAGCAGGTCACAGTACCGAGACTGCAATTTTAATGGTTCTTCATGATGTTTTTTAGCTTGTGACGGGGGGGGGGGGGGGGGGGGGGGAATGCTGTCACTCTTTGGATGTTAGATTTGTCTGCGGCCTTTGACACGGTCGATCATGACATACTTTTGGATCGGCTACAACATTGGCTCCCTTCAGTTTCCTAAGGAAGAAAAGTCTTTGTTGGACCTTCTTTACCAGAAAGGAAGTGTTCAGTGACCAGGTTAGATCTGAGGTGATGTGGATGCCCAGGAATCTGATGTTGTCTACGCATTCTACTAGCTCCCCCCAAATGAGTAGAGGTGGGTGCTCTGTCCTGTTGGACCTCCTGAAGTCCACCATGACCTCCTTGGTCTTACTGGTGTTGAGCACCAGGTTGTTCAAAGAACACCACTGAGTGAGGTGCTGTATCTCCTCTTTTTAGAGGGTCTCATCGTTGTTTGTTATGAGACCCACTATGGTGTCATCTGCAAACTTCAAAACCACCTAAGATAGATCGTTTGACCTGCTATGGGACCAGGGAGTCCTAAATCTGTTCAGGGTCCAATCAAATCTCAAGACCTTCTGGATCCAGATGTGCTCAGGGTCAGAAAGCTTCAGGATGTCCTCCAGCTGGATGATGAACATCAACACACAGCTAGAAACACCAAGAATGGATCAGAACCAAACATTGGACACATCTAAACTTGTCTTCAGTGAGCCCTGATCCGGTAGAACATCTGTGGAAGGTTCCATCTGTTTTGTCCAGACCAATTTCATCACACTTTTTAGCTGAATCACAACTATTTCTGACCATCATGAGCAGGTTCCATTTTTATTTGATTTGAGCTAATTATGCCAACAAGTTAGAACTGTTAACTGTAATCATCTTTAGTTGGTAGCAGCATTTGTGATGCGGAAACAGCAACTGATCTCCAACTCAGCAGGATGAAGAGTAAACATGGAGGTTCACTGGTGAGTTTGAACTGGTCCTGAGGGGCAATGACCCGACCCGTCCGTGGTAGACTCTTAACTAGCATCAGCTGACCGAGGTTTCTGTTCCTTAGTAAAGGTGACAACATCCCATAGATGCATCCAGACCTTTTCTGTGTGTTCTCGTGTCTCACGTTGTTCTGGAATCCTTAAAAACATCCAATCCGACCTGCTGGCTTTCTTATCCACAGGTATTTTTGATTCTTTTCATCAGAACGTGATCTCCAGCTTTTGCGGTTCACAGCCGAGCGTGAAGCGGCTGGGATGAGAATCAGGTCCTCTAAATCCGAGACCATGGTCTTGAGTCGGAAAAGGGTAGAATGCCTTCTCCGGGTCAGGGATGAGGTCCTGCCCCAAGTGGAGGAGTTTAAGTATCTCGGGGTCTTGTTCACGAGCGAGGGGAAGATGGAGCGTGAGGTCGATAGGCGGATTGGTGCTGCATCTGCAGTGATGCGGGCGTTGTACCGGTCTGTCGTGGTGAAGAGAGAGCTGAGTCAGAAGGCGAAGCTCTCGATTTACCGGTCGATCTACGTTCCTACCCTCGCCTATGGTCATGAGCTTTGGGTGGTGACCGAAAGAACGGGATCGCGGATACAAGCGGCCGAAATGAGTTTTCTCCACAGGGTGGCTGGGCTCTCCCTTGGAGATAGGGTGAGAAGCTCGGTCATCCGGGAGGGGCTCAGAGTAGAACCGCTGCTCCTCCACATCGAGAGGAGCCAGTTGAGGTGACTCATGCATCTTGTTAGGAAGCCTCCTGGATGCCTCCCTGGTGAGGTTTTCTGGGCACGTCCAACCAGGAGGAGACCTAAAGGTAGACCCAGGACATGTTGGAGGGACTATGTCTCTCACCTGGCCAGGGAACACCTTGGGATTTCCCTGGAGGAGCTGGCCCAAGTGGCTGGGGAGAGGGAAGTCTGGGTCTCTCTAATTAGGCCGTTGCCCCCGCGACCCGACTCTGGATGAAGTGGATGGACGGTATTTTTGATTAATCAGCATTTTACTGTGAATCTGGTTCTAATGAAACGTCATGGCAGTTCCTGAATCGGGACCGGCAGCTTTGTAGATCTCATCTGGATGACGGAACTGAATTAAACGCGCCGAGTTTATGAAGCCTTTTATTTTACACCTATGCCCAGTGCAGACAGGAGTAACGCCCGTATAAATTACAAGTTGTACCTTTAGACACACTCTTCTTCACAAAGACATTATGTATTCAGATGTTTTCACTGCAGACGCCAGCGGTCACAGTCGGGTTTATTACACCAACATGGTAAAACTCAGAGCTGTTATCCGGCACCAGAAACTGAAGAAGCCACAACAGAACTGACCTGGGCAGAGCTCATTAGTGCTCATCACAGATTTAGGTTCCTCCAGAACCAGAAACTAAACAAATCCAATAACAAACCATCAGTAATAAAATGTTCTGTAAATATGAAGCAGGTTCTAGATCATTTCCTTTGATGTCTGAGATGGTCCTCTCACATCTGCTGCTGTTGCTGCTGCTCCAACATGGCTTCACACGTCCGTCCTAGCTCCCCCAGTTTGACCTTGGCGTACTCGGCTCTGTTCAGCGCCATCTGGCAGTCCTTCCTGGCCGAGTAGGTGGACCCCTCATGAGGCTGACCTGTAGCTACCTGGAGACAGGAGGACAGACTTTATGTAGCAATGAGCTGCCACGATCTGACCAGTCTCTCCTGGACCACCTTCTCTTCTGCTGACCTGTGTGAGGTAGCGGATCTGGGCGCCCAGTTCGCTCTCCACGCGGTTGATTGAAGTCTGGAACTGGACCAGCTGTCTGTCTAGGAAACTGGCATTATGTTTGTCTTTGGAGAGTTCCAAAACTATGTTTCCTGCCAGGGAGAGATCACATGGGTCAGAGTTCACAGAGAAAGACCTGCTGGCATGGACGTAATTTTCACTTTAGAAGTGGGGGGGACAAGGGGGGGGGGGGTATCTTTACAGTATGCTCTAATGGGAAACAGGCTTCAACACAAATGGTTGTTTTCCGCTTGGTCCTAGAGCTCAACCAGTGTCAATTTAATATAGCGTAATATTGTTTTTGGATGGTAAAAAGTGCAGGGGTCAAACCTTGACTTTGGAAAAAGTGGGGGGGGGATATGTCCCCCCTGTCCCCCCCCCCAAAAAGAATTACGTCCATGCCTGCTGGAGTTCCGACAGCATCTATGAGCAGGTCCATTTCTAAAAGCTCGTGTTGTTTAATAATGTCTGACGAAACACAACAAACAAAGGTTCCACGATGGCCGGAGTTAAATAGCATCATCAGTCAAAACCCGGTGTGACGGAGCAGGAACTCCTGCGGTGCATCATGGGAGATTGAGTCTGTAACTACTGCTGCCGCTGAGAGCGTCAGGTTTATTCTGAGACGTGATCATTATTGTGTGAATGACTGATTTCCATAACTGAACCCACACAAACCGCCGAGTCCGCTCCAGACGGGTGAAAACAACAACATGAGACAATAAACACGGATCTCCTGTCATGGGTCCTCCTACCAGCACACTGCAGAACCACCGCTATTTCCTTCTCCGCGTCCTCCAGTAGTCTGAGCCTCTCGTTCGCCATCAGAACCAGAACCTGCAGGATGGCTCCGCTCCCACCAGCATTAAAGATGAAGGCGGCACAACGAGGAACGGCGGCGTTATTTAGCCTGAAGAACTCCCCCCTGCGCTTTGAATGCTAGCTGGTCATACACTACGTCATACGGAAGCGACAGGTCGTAGGAAAATTACGTCAGCGTGGTGGAGAGGGAAAATGGCTGCGTCGGCTTGGCTGCATGGCTCAGCTGCGATGCGACTAACTGAGGGTTTGGTGCTGCTCATGAAGGAGCAGCGTCCGGAGTTTCTGCCCGAGGTGTTGGCCAACTACAGAGAACATGGCGTGCTGTCCTCGCAGGTAGCTTCTCCTCGCGCAGACGGACCCTCAGCGGCAGCTAGCTGCCGCCGCTAGCTGCCGCCGCTAGCTGCCGCCGCTAGCTGCCGCTGCTCCGTTGTTGATCAACCGGATGGTGTCCGTCAACTGATGCTGCTGTCCGGCTGTAAATAACAATGTGTTTTATTAATCTGTGTTTATGTTTGCAGAGCGCGAGTGATGCGGCGGGTCTCGTGGGTCTCTGCAATGGTAAACTGAGCTCGAGCAAGACCAGGTAAGCATCCTCTGTTACCTGTGTCGGTTTTAATACCTGCCGATGTCACTGAGTGATGTGGTGATGCTCCTCTGAGTTTAGTTGAGTTGTTGCGAAGCTGTCGGGCACCCTGCTACCTTCGGCCCTCTGTGTGCAGGCTCGAAGGACTCTGCCTGCTCTCCATGCTGGTTAAAGACAGCTCCAGCGATCTGTTCCAGCAGCACTGTCTGTCCTGGCTGCGCTCTCTGCAGCAGGTCGTACAGGTACAACGTGCACGCGCACACCGACTTCCTCAGGGATCTGTTTCAGGCCCAATTAACATTTTATTTATTGGCATGAAAGAGCAGATTTTATTCTGAAGTTGTACCGATACACTCTGTGTTTCTGATGTTCTGGCATCAAGCTGTCAGCTACAGATGTCAGGACAAATAATCCGTCTTGCAGTTTGGTGAGATCTGTTACACGCTGAAGGAGGTCAGACTTAGGAAACGAATCATGATTATTTTGGATCAGCAGTGAAATCCTGATTATTAAACACAATTAATCCTTTATAGCGGGTGACATCAAACACACGGTGGCTGCATGAACCTTAAGCTGTAAACCTGCCCTTGCCCGACCTTCCTCTGATTCTGATCCAGTCCCAGGCTCCGGTCCAGACCATCCAGCTGGCTGTGAACGTTCTGAAGGACCTGCTGCAGTACTCATGTCAGCTCCCAGAGCTTGCCCGAGAGGTTGGACTCAACTCCATCCTCGGCATCTTGACGTCTCTTCTAGGCCTCAAAACGGAGGTGAAGGAAAATTCAGAGAAATGTTTCCTTGATGTTGTAACTCAGTAAATTCAGAGTGTTTCATGTGAAATGTTCCTTTTGTAAACGGGTCACATCCACTGATTCTGTTTTATAAAATAACGGTTTAGGCCCAAAAACTACTAGTGTGAGTTGTGCTCTAACAGCAGCTCCTGTCCTCGTCCCTCTCTGATCTCAGTGTGAACTCTCGGCCATGGAAGGGATGAAGGCCTGCATGGTTTACTACCCCAGAGCCTGCGGGTCTCTCAAGGTGAAAAACCTCCTCATGTCGGGCTAAACAGAACTTTTTCATCTCAGTGTGTTTAGTTCAGATACTTTAGACTCTCTTTTGTTGCATTTTCTTTTCTTTTTGCTTCAGGACAAACTTGGAGCCTATTTTCTCTCCAAAATGGACAGCACCAGCAGGAAAACACAAGAGGTGGGTCACTCACACAGGACCAGAAGATGACCTGTGGAATCTGGTTTTAATCTCCTCTCTGGTGTCTTTTGTCTCTCAGGCGGCCTGTCAGGGCTACAGTCACCTGCCCTGTCTGGGGGGACTGATGGACAGAGCGGTGGGTGCTAGCAGAGCTGAGGGCTGGACCAATCAGATCCACTGTCTGCTGGCTTCAGCCAACAGCCTTCTGGCTCAGATCTACCAAGGGTCCGAGACAGGTAGACGCACCATCACCGGATCACTCCTGCTGTTGGCCTTTTTTGGTCAAATCAGCATTTTATTTTTTGCAACGTGATACTTTAATAACTGTAAACACTTTATGAAAATTAATGTCCAGCTCACAGTTTAAAACCTCACATCGCTGGCATAATGGAGCCTTCTCAGTCAAAAATGGTCCTTTTACCTCCACATGGGTCCAGTTAATGTCCTCCAATATAACATCTGGTCCACAATCCAACAAAACGACCTTCTGTTATCGTTCTCGTGTTGGCTTCAAACCCAAACATCCAGGGGCCTCATCTGTCAAGCTTGCTTACGCACAAAACGGGGTCGGAAAACTGCGTAAGCAACTTTCCGCTCAAACTTTGGGATTTATCAAAGAAAATGTAGCGAAAAAATGTGCGCAATTTTAAGTTAACTTAGGACCTGGCTTACGCACGTGTTGGACATGGAGAGCACCTGCAGTGCTGCTGCTGAGAAGGATAAAATTATGAAATCCTGCAGCATTATCACTTGTACTGCTTCGTTTTCACACAGAACAAGACCCCCCCCCACACACGCACTCACACACACATGCGCGCACACTCACACACGCGCGCACACTCACACACACATGCGCACACACACACATGCGCGCACACTCACACACACACGCGCGCACACTCACACACACATGCGCACACTCACACACGCGCGTGCACTCACACACACACACGCGCACACTCACACACACATGCGCACACACACACACACAGCCTGAAGCGCAGAATACGGAATGCAGAATATCAGCAGGGGGACAGATTGAGACAGAACATCATGCGTCTGTGACAGTGTGTGTGTCCTGTCAATGTGACCCGACTGATGATGCGCCCTGGATAGTTGAACAGGGAAGATCTCCGTTTGGGTGACTGGTTAGCACCCGGGAGTCTGGGGATCGAATCCAGATTGGATCATTTTTTATATCCGCCACAGATCTCTCTGAAGAACTCAGCATTGACGGCTTCAGCAACGCTGTGCCACTCCGTGGATTTTCTCTTATTTGTTTTGCAAAAGCACTTCCTTTCATTTCTCCACCTCACCCACAGGTACCTCAACTTCTGCTTCTGTGAAATTGCGCTTCCTTGATCTGCCTTGATCTACGGTCGCCATGTCATTGGCGGAGCGCTGCAACAGCCGGCTTATGTATATGCATGAGATCCACAAGGCAGTTTGCATTGACTATTTATGGCAGTAAGTGGGCGTGGTGAGGGCGGGATGTGACTAAAATGCAGCTGAGAAACATTCTCGTTAGTCTCCGATTTATGAAGCGGAGATTGCATGCAGCTGTGCATTCTCCATGTGTGATAGATCACTAACCTGCTTGGCTTAAGTACTTTTTTTTTGCTGAGCGTAAGTACGGTTTAGTAAGGATTCTACACAATGTCTGATAAATGAGACCCCTGGTCTGCTTCTCCAGACTGATCATGGACGATTGTGATTGGTGGATCTTATCGGTACGCCTAACATCAGATGAGCACACGCTGACGCCGACATCACAGCTGGACCTGGGATGTGACTGTTGAGCAGCTCTCGGTTTAGCCATTCTGAAGTGTACAAATGCTGATCTGCTGTTGTAGAAATAGTTTACGTTCCCCAAGACTGATGTGCTAACAGCTAGTTTGAGTATAGCCAAGACCAGAGGAGACTTGTTCAGTCTTTCCACCGTCCCAGCGTTACTTTATAAACCTTTGCATCACCGTGACTTCCACTCAGCTAAACGACGGAGAACAGGTTCGTTTAGCTACTGCTGGAGATGTTCTAATATCCAGCGTCCTACGTTAATGACCAGAGACCAGACGTACCTGGCCCACAGGCTAACGAAACTGAGGACGCGACAGAGTCGACGTTTAGCTGGAGGTTTGGTTGTTGGTGTTGAAACGCGTCGGCTCCAGTCGGGAATCACAAGTTAGGAGGATGGTTCTGCTCAGAGTCACAGGTTCTAAGATGTTGGCCTGAGCGTTCTGTTTGCAGCTCTCGTTTCCACCACGTGGTGTTGGTGCAGCAGGGGCTGACTGATCTGTTGTTCCTTTGTCCCAGATGAAGCTGTTCGTTATCAGGGTCCTGGTGTGGAGCTGGCCTTTCCTCACATCGACCAAACCGAACCGCTGCTGCTCCTCCAACACAGATACGCCGCTGTCTGCATGACCATTAAACATACACTCAGGCAAGACACACACACACACACACACACACACACACACACACACACACACACACACACACACACACACACACACACACACACACACACACACACACACACACACACACACAACAGTTCAACAGATTTAACTAAATTCAAGGTAAAATTGCCGTTTCTCCAGGTAAACAACAACAACTTCTCTTTCATTATTCGTTGTTTTCACTTTCAGCTAAACTTTGACGGATGTAGCGGCTGAGCAGCTCATAAAGGCTTTAAATGATGTCAGAGGCATCGAGATGCGTTTCTCACACAGCCGAGGATCAAAGGCATGAATGACAAAAGCATATAAAGTAATTTTTAGTGTGTGTGTGTGTGTGTGTGTCCATCAGAACGGATCCTGCCTCGGCTGTTTCGGTGCCGGTCAGACCCATACTCAACCTGGTGTGTCGAGCGCTCGCCGTCAACTCCAAGAACATGGTGGGTCACGAGCACGGAGGGGTATGGATGACCTACCGTCTCCATCTGACAAACGTCCTTTTAGTAGCCTCTGGCTTCTCCTTAGCTGCTGTAGGACCTCCACACTGGTCCTACCGCGGCCGCCTGGAGATGTAGAGGATTTATGTACATGTAGGATTAGGAGTTCATCCATTCATAGTGAATGATGCAATTAAAGCCCTGAAGTGAAGAAATAATTTAGAGTATCTAAATCTAAAGGGTCATCAGAAGAGACAAAAATGGAAGCATCTTTTATTCATTACATAAACTTATGATCTAATAATAAAGAAATGGATGAAACCTTTGCAGAGTTTTGCTCTGACTCATTTTAGGAGGTTAGAAGCCGTTTCATCAGGCAGATCAGTGATTTGAGCTCTCAGGTCCTGCTGGTGCTCTTCAGGAGGTGTGTGTACGTGTGTGTGTTTATCCTCGTAACCAAGACGATCGAGGTCTTATTACTCCTTCTGATTTTCTCTGTCAGATTTTAACAGCTGATGGAAGTTTGAGGTTTTTGGTTCTGCCCAGTGTTCACATCAACGCTCTAGAGGTGCTGTCAGAGCTCATCACAGTGTGAGTACACACACACACACACACACATGCACGCACGCATGATATGTGTGTGTGTGTCGTAGAGTTCGCAGTGGGATGGTGAACGTGTGATGTGTGTGTGTGTGTCGTAGAGTTCGCAGTGGGATGGTGAACGTGTGATGTGTGTGTGTGTGTCGTAGAGTTCGCAGTGGGATGGTGAGCGTGTGATGTGTGTGTGTGTGTGTCGTAGAGTTCGCAGTGGGATGGTGAACGTGTGATGTGTGTGTGTGTGTGTGTGTCGTAGAGTTCGCAGTGGGATGGTGAACGTGTGATGTGTGTGTGTGTGTGTCGTAGAGTTCGCAGTGGGATGGTGAACGTGTGTGTGTGTGTCGTAGAGTTCGCAGTGGGATGGTGAACGTGTGTGTGTGTGTGTCGTAGAGTTCGCAGTGGGATGGTGAACGTGTGATGTGTGTGTGTGTGTCGTAGAGTTCGCAGTGGGATGGTGAACGTGTGATGTGTGTGTGTGTGTCGTAGAGTTCGCAGTGGGATGATGAACGTGTGATGTGTGTGTGTCGTAGAGTTCGCAGTGGGATGGTGAACGTGTGATATGTGTGTGTGTGTCGTAGAGTTCGCAGTGGGATGGTGAACGTGTGATGTGTGTGTGTCGTAGAGTTTGCAGTGGGATGGTGAACATGTGATGTGTGTGTGTGTCGTAGAGTTTGCAGTGGGATGGTGAACGTGTGATGTGTGTCGTAGAGTTCGCAGTGGGATGGTGAACATGTGATGTGTGTGTGTGTCGTAGAGTTCGCAGTGGGATGGTGAACGTGTGATGTGTGATGTGTGTCGTAGAGTTCGCAGTGGGATGGTGAACATGTGATGTGTGATGTGTGTCGTAGAGTTCGCAGTGGGATGGTGAACGTGTGATGTGTGTGTGTGTCGTAGAGTTCGCAGTGGGATGGTGATGTGTGTGTGTTGTAGAGTTCGCAGTGGGATGGTGAACGTGTGATGTGTGTGTGTGTGTCGTAGAGTTTGCAGTGGGATGGTGAACATGTGATGTGTGTGTGTGTCGTAGAGTTCGCAGTGGGATGGTGAACGTGTGATATGTGTGTGTGTGTCGTAGAGTTCGCAGTGGGATGGTGATGTGTGTGTGTTGTAGAGTTCGCAGTGGGATGGTGAACGTGTGATGTGTGTGTGTGTGTCGTAGAGTTTGCAGTGGGATGGTGAACATGTGATGTGTGTGTGTGTCGTAGAGTTTGCAGTGGGATGGTGAACGTGTGATGTGTGTCGTAGAGTTCGCAGTGGGATGGTGAACGTGTGATGTGTGATGTGTGTCGTAGAGTTCGCAGTGGGATGGTGAACATGTGATGTGTGTGTGTGTCGTAGAGTTCGCAGTGGGATGGTGAACATGTGATGTGTGTGTGTGTCGTAGAGTTCGCAGTGGGATGGTGAACGTGTGATATGTGTGTGTGTGTCGTAGAGTTCGCAGTGGGATGGTGATGTGTGTGTGTTGTAGAGTTCGCAGTGGGATGGTGAACGTGTGATGTGTGTGTGTGTGTCGTAGAGTTTGCAGTGGGATGGTGAACATGTGATGTGTGTGTGTGTCGTAGAGTTTGCAGTGGGATGGTGAACGTGTGATGTGTGTCGTAGAGTTCGCAGTGGGATGGTGAACATGTGATGTGTGTGTGTGTCGTAGAGTTTGCAGTGGGATGGTGAACGTGTGATGTGTGTGTGTCGTAGAGTTCGCAGTGGGATGGTGAACGTGTGATGTGTGTGTGTCGTAGAGTTCGCAGTGGGATGGTGAACGTGTGATATGTGTGTGTGTGTCGTAGAGTTCGCAGTGGGATGGTGATGTGTGTGTGTTGTAGAGTTCGCAGTGGGATGGTGAACGTGTGATGTGTGTGTGTGTGTCGTAGAGTTTGCAGTGGGATGGTGAACATGTGATGTGTGTGTGTGTCGTAGAGTTCGCAGTGGGATGGTGAACGTGTGATGTGTGTCGTAGAGTTCGCAGTGGGATGGTGAACATGTGATGTGTGTGTGTGTCGTAGAGTTTGCAGTGGGATGGTGAACGTGTGATGTGTGTGTGTCGTAGAGTTCGCAGTGGGATGGTGCAATATGCTGCTGTCATCCAGAGGCTGTTTTCTCAGACCCTGTCTGCGTGGACACCTCCACCTGAGACCAGTGTTGGACAGCAGAGGGCGTACAGGTGAGTGGCTCCTGTTCTAAACCACAACACCTTTTCTTCAGGTACTCCTGCTGAAGCTAGCTATTGCTATAACCATCGCTGTCTCAGGAGTCCAGGCACTCTGACATGAGCAGGTTTCATTGGATTACCAAGCTACTTACATTTAGACTGGAACACACGCACCAGAGCTATCGGCATTTTCACATGTGGCCTGGTCAGGTCCGGCCTTGGCTTGGTTGGCCCGTCCCCACACAGCTTTTTTTCACACCATCTGGTCCACGCAGATGTGTTAACCCCACCGCATCCACACTGTGGGAAGCTGCCGCTGGCTGACTACCCACCAATCAGAGGCTCCTACTAATAGGTGGGTGTAAACGTCAGCAAACCAATCAGTCGCTAGTGGATGTTAAAGTCCTATTAGACTGGAGTAAGAAGTTGCTGATGTTTTCACACGAGGCTCTAGTAGCATTTCCACCCAGCTACACTGATAACCACCAACCTGTGAGGTGTCCTAGAATATTTGTAAATGTCAAACGTTGTCCCACATCCCAGCTCTACATGGATTTATTTATATTCCACCCAGAGAAGGTCAGGGACCAAAGATTCACCCAAACCTTAAACTGGAGTGATCAGCGGGCCATCCAGCTCCATCAGCATGTTTGGAAGTTTTGGTAAAACCAGCATCCCCTCTGGTTAACATCTCTACCAAGGACCTTCCCCTCCAGTACCTTGGCGTAGACCATTCCAGGGAGGCTGATGAGTGTGACCCCCTGTAGTTGGAACACATCCTTTATGTGAGATTTTTTTATGACTCATGTTGAACCCAGATTCACAGAACTGTTCATCAGGGGTCTTCAGGCTTGGTTCAGCCAGTGGAGGAAGTTCATGTGACTTTGCACTGTTGAACCTCGTGATGAATTGCCAAATCGTCCACGCTTTTCCTTTATCCTCCTGCAGCTCTGTCAGAGTGTCGGTGTTCAGGAGCTTAGAGCTGTGGGTCAGGGTAGCCGGAGCTTCTGCTAGCATCCTCCACGGAACCTCCAGCCACGTGGACCTGCTGCTCAACCACCTGCTGGGGGACATCACACCAGGAGCAGAATCCGTCAAG